GTGCAACTCAAGAATGCAGAAAACCCAAACTGGGCTTATGGGTGTGGTGCCGCAGGTTAAGCCACCTGCTAGTGATATCAGCACCCCATATCAGAGTGCAAGTTTGAGTCCCAGCTGCTCCACTTCCAATCCAGCTCCCTGCACCTAGGAAAGCAATCAATGAGAGACCCAGATAAACTTCCTGACTCCTGCCTCGCCCAGCATTGTGACCATTTAGGGAGTGAATCAGCCGATGGAAAGTCAATATGTGTGTGTCTCTCTCCCACCCTCCACCTCTGTCACTCTGCCTTTCAAATAAATACAACTTTAAATAAAAAAGAACAAACCAAACCCAAAATTCACAGAAGGCATGAAAAAAGGAGAAATAAGTGAAATGGAAACAAAAGTTATCGAAGATCAACAAGATAAAAAACTGGTTTTTTTCAAAAGGTAAATAAACCAAACTGATTGATACCTAGATCATGGGTATCCTAGCCTCTGGAAGAGAGAGAAATACACTTCTATTGCTTATAAATCCCCAGCCTCCGGTATTTTACTATAGCAGCACAAACAGCCAAGACCTACACAGACAAAATCCACGATAAACAAGCCAGGACCAGGCACCTCCTACCATGATTAAAGGAGGCAATGGAAACTTTGAGGAGAGGCTCTGCAGTGGATTCAGTCTTGCGTCCTCCAAGTTCACGTCCTCTTCCAGGCTGAGGTGTGACATGGGGGTAACGGGGCCTTTGTAGATGTAATAGATTCACTGAGGGCCTGCTGGGTTAGGGAGGGCCCCAAATCCCACCACGAGTGTCCTTACAGGAAGGGAAGAGGACACACGGATGCTGCAGAGAGAAGAGGCTGTGTGAGGACAGAGGCACAGCTTGGAGTTCTGCTGCCACGTTCAAGGCCCACGAGGGACAGACGCAGGCAGCAGCCACTGGGGGAGGCAAGGGAGGATCCTGGGTCAGAGCTTGGAGAGAGAGCAGGGCCCTGCCACCCCTGGACCTCGGGCTTGTGGCTTCCAGAACCCTGAGAGGATGGATCTCTGCCTTTTGGGGCAACACATTTTGTGATGCTTTGATATGGTATATTCCAGGGAACAGATGCACCTGCCGCGAAGTGCAGTGCCCGCGAGACCACAAGAGGGCAGTGTCGGGCAGCACGCACTGCTCGTGCAGATGCAAACTCAGGGCCAAATCACTGAGGTCCACAAAAACTTAGTAGTGTTTTAACGATGGCAAACGAAGTTGTAAATTTTCGCTTGAAAGTTTACAACCTTTATCAGCTTGGGCAATAATTTCTGACTTTTGCAACAACCTGTGAAGGAGCCCCTTTTGAAGCACATCCTTGTTCCGCTGTCACCTGACACACAGGGGAGGAATCTGCAGGATGGATTTTCCCAGCAGGAGACACACATCTTTAGTGTCAATAGGCAAGGCCTCATTGCTCTCCAACCGGGTAACACTGAGTTACACTTTCCAGGAAGGAATGGCCGTTTTCCCAAGCCTGAAAACACTTTTCCAAGCTGAGAGGTTAAACACACACACGCACACACACAGGCTTTAGAAGAAGTGCTGGCCGGCACCACGGCTCACTAGGCTAATCCTCCGCCTTGCGGCGCCGGCACACCAGGTTCTAGTCCCAGTCGGGGCGCCGGATTCTGTCCCAGTTGCCCCTCTTCCAGGCCAGCTCTCTGCTGTGGCCCAGGAGTGCAGTGGAGGATGGCCCAAGTGCTTGGGCCCTGTACCCCATGGGAGACCAGGAGAAGCACCTGGCTCCTGCCATCGGATCAGCGTGGTGCGCCGGCCGCAGCGCGCCAGCTGCGGCAGCCATTGGAGGGTGAACCAACGGCAAAGGAAGGCCTTTCTCTCTGTCTCTCTCTCTCACTGTCCACTCTGCCTGTAAAAACAATTTAAAAAAAAAAAATAGAAGAAGTGCTGAGGGCCCCAAGGACCGGCTGAGGGCCAAGGGACCCAGATGTCACAGCTCGGGTGCTTCCCAGCCTGTGAGGTACAAGGATCCCCACCTGCCAGGGCCCCTGCTCCGCCTCGCACCAGCACGCCTGTCTCTTTACCAGCACACAGAGCCCACGCCAGACACCACACTTTCATGGTGCCAGACCCATTTGCAGGGAGACTGGCTTCCTTCAAGTCAACCATGTTCACAACCAGCAGCTCCCTTGTCCCCTGAGTCACCCAGAATGTAGAGGCCAGGAACCAAGTCCAGGGCACCTGAAGGGCAACCACACGGGTGACCTCGAGAATGTCCTGCTTGTCCTGCCTGGACAGACCCTGCTAGGGCCTGTGGCAGCCCCATCCTCATCTGGGGCACAGAGCACACGGGCAAGGAAGGTGGGGCTGGGGCACTGTGGGGTGGCGCCCTCAGGACGGCCTTCTCCCGGCCACTCACAGCGCCAGCGGTGTGGTGATCCACCCGTGGGCAGGGCCAGCAAGAAGGAACCAGGGGTAGAGAAGAGCAGGTAGGGAGTCCTGTCTGTCACCTGTCTGCAACCTCTTCATGTGACTCAGAAACCTGACTTCAGTCTTGCTTCCAGAAAGTCTGAGCCCACTCCTGCCTGGGCCTGCCCTTGGCAACATCACCCTGCTCACAGCGTGGCAGCGTCCAGGGCGTTTCCTTGGAGGTGAGGTTTTCCCCATCTCCCAGCTCCGCCCCCATTGCTCCCTGCCTTTAGCAAGCAAACACTGGCAGTCACAACCATGCCTAGCACAGTGCCTGTCACCTGGGAAGACGTCAAGAAGTGGTTGTAAACACATGTATTCATTTTGGACAGCTGTCCGTCTCCCTTTACAGAACATAATTATGGTGCATACTCCTATGGTTTCATACTTTACTGTCTCTTGGTTCTGCTCTAAGCACTTGCACGATGTTGATTCACTTAATCCTTATGGCAAGTGTAAGCGTATAAGTAGCCCCATTTTACAGATGAGTAAACTGAGGCACAGGGAGTATGTAACAGAGCTGGGAGCAGCTCCATGAAGGAAGGAAGTGCCCCTACTCCCCACTATCCCCTCCTAAGCGTGCCTGGGACCCAACAGGTGCTCAGCTGTTTATGGATGGAGGTAGATGCAGGAACGGAGCTGACAGTCACTCTCCCAGATGACAGGGGCTTGTAAACGAGAAGAACCCCGAGCATACACTGGGGGCGAAGGCTTTGGTTCTGACCCCAGTGATTCAGGAAGCGGAGGGAGGGTGGCCTTGCTACGTGGGAGCAAAGTCCGTTTAAGAAGCATTGCACAGGGCCGGCGCTGTGGCATAGTGGGTAAAGCCACCGCCTGCAGTGCCGGCATCCCATATGGGCTCCGGTTCAAGTCCTGGCTGTTTCTCTTCTGATCCAGCTCTCTGCTATGGCCTGGGGAAGCAGTCAAAGATGGCCCAAGTGCTTGGGCCCCTGCACCCACGTGGGAGACCTAGAGGAAGCTCCTGGTTCCTGACTTCAGATTGGCCCAGCTTGGGCCGTTGTGGCTAATTAGGGAGTGAACCAGTGGATGGAAGACCTCTATCTCTCTGCCTCTGCCTCTCTGTAACTCTGCCTTTAAAAGAAAGAAAGAAAGAAAGAGAGGGAAGGAGGGAGGGAAGGGAAGAAGGAAGGGAAGGAGAGAGGGAGGGAGGGAGGGAGGGAGGGAGGAAGGGAGGAAGGGAGGAAGAGGTAATCAGAGACTAACTAGTTAATTACCTAAGGGAGTGAGGTGGATCCCTCGGGGGTGGGTTAATTGTGGCGAGCACAGGTTATTACAGGTGAGCTGACACCTGTCTCTCTCTTGTGCTCCTACCTCCCCACTTCTACCCTCCCACCACCACCCCACCGTATGATGCAGCACGAGGCGACCCTGAGAACTGTGGGTAAATAATCCTCGTAATCATAGCCCCAAGTATTCAATCATAGCAACAAGAAAGGGGCTACGGCGGTGCCCCTGCGAGCCCTGGCCCCCCCTGCACTCCAGTCTTTGGTGCTTTGCCTCCATTACACCCCAGTCCCGCACCGCCCTGGGAGACCTGCCTTCCTCCAGGCCGCCTGGTGTCCTTCCTGTGGAGCTCCGGCCGTCCCACGCTTCCTCTTTCCTGATGGACGCTGCTAGGGGGTCCCGGGGGAGGCTGGCCAGCTCCCAAATGGGTCACACCCCAAATAGGTCTCTGATTCAGCCACTCAAGAGTACCAATTCCTGAATCAACTCCTTTTCCTGCTCTGCAAATGGCTATTTTGCAAGTAAGGCTTCCAAAAGAAGTCAAGTTAGGATCGGAACACAAATCAATATAACCACAGCAAAATGGAGGGAATGAAAGGTCAATGAGGCAGAAAAACGATTCCATGAGAAAAATTTTGTAAAACTATATAACCCTGGGTAGGGGGGAATGAAAGACACAATTACCCACATCAGGAATGAGAGACGTAGAATCACCATCAATATGAAAAGGATAATAAAGGCATATTATGAATAACTTTGTGTAACAAAACCCACAACTTGGACGAGATCCACAAATTTCTTGAAAAACAGTAATCTCACTTAAGGCACAGAAATTCTGAACAGGATTAAAACAGGCTCCAAATTATCAGTGCTGTCTTACCGACAGGGGAACTGGGGGCCCCAGAGTCTCGGGCAGTGCCGGGCGGCTCCACTTGGGAAAAGCCAAGCCATGATGAGGTCGCCTTTCTGCCAGACCTCACACTCACTGAGCAAGCACACTGAAAACGGTGGATGGAGTTCTAACTGGGTGACCACCTGACCACACCTGACCACATTCATGTCAGCTGGATCTTGTTGGTGGCTCCCACATGGCTGTGGATCCGTAAAGATCGCTCAGCACCAATGGGTAGCCTCCCTGGACAAGCCTAAACGCAGACCCTTTCGGCACCCGCAGGAGCTATGTTGGGATTAAGTAAATGATTCCCATAACGGGTTTGGCACACGGTCAACATTCTCTGCCACATGGGGACAGGCTGAGACCCACAGAGCCACCAAAAGCCACTCCCGGGACATCGCGTTGCTCTCCTCTCTGCTGAGTTGCCCTTCGACAAGCAAAGAGCGGTTGAGTGATTCCATTGCCAACACTGGCACCTCGCGGTGGACAGCGGGCGCAGGTCCAAGATGACTCAGCCTTTGTTACTCCCTCTTCGGGGTCCTCCCAGACAGTTCCTGCAGTCCGCCCCGCAGTGCATTGCGGCCCCTGCTGACCCATCCCCGTCCGGTTTTGCCGGGCGCGAACCTCGCTTCTCAGGCACTCGCCGCACTCGGAGCCGGGATCCACTAGGGCGCAGCGCTGGGAGGGGGCGGCCCCGGGAGCCGGGGCGTTACGAAAGCTTAGGGAGCGGACAGCCCCTCCTCGGAGGGGAGGGACCCAGGCCAGGGGCCTTGCTCTCCAGAAGTTGCCCGGCTGGATCCCAGAACTGAGTTCCGCGCGGCTCTCCGCGCAGTACGCGCCTTCGGGGATCGGCGGCCGGGTCCGCTCTTTTGCACAGGTGTCCCGAGCGCCCAGCCATGTCGTCCTGCAGCCGCGTGGCGCTGGTGACCGGCGCCAACAAGGGCGTCGGCTTCGCCATCACGCGCGACCTGTGCCGGCTCTTCTCCGGGGACGTGGTGCTCACAGCGCGGGACGAGGCGCGGGGCCGGGCCGCCGTGCAGCAGCTGCAGGCCGAGGGCCTGAGCCCGCGCTTCCACCAGCTGGACATCACGGACCTGCAGAGCATCCGCGCCCTGCGCGACTTCCTGCGCCGGGAGTACGGGGGCCTCAACGTGCTGGTCAACAACGCGGCCATCGCCTTCCAGAGTAGGTGAGGGGCTGGGAGGACGAGGGGGTCCCTGGGACGCCTCGAGAGTGCGGGGCAGCGAACAGCAGGCGCCCCCAGCGGCCCGTTAGAGAGATCGGGGAGGGAGGCCCCTCGGGATGCGCTCAGCTCCCGCCTCTCCCGGCGGGTTTTCGCTTTCCCGTGGTTCGCAGAGCGCGGGGCGAGCCCTGGCGCGGGACACCGCGCGCCCCGCCCGCGGGCCTGTGTGGGCCTGTGCGCCGCCCTGGGCCCTCCCGGAACTGTCAGTCGCTGTTGTTTGCAAGAGAAGCGGCCTCCTGGGAGGGGCCCACGCCCTGCTCAGCTCGTGGAGGTTTTCTGTCCGTTGCGAGAATCTTCTCCGCGAGGGGGTGGCCCAGCCCCGCCTGGAGCTTTCGCTTTCGCTGGAACAAGGGCGCATTCATGGCAGGCGGGAGGCATCTGCCGCGCACGGGCAACGAGCGCGCTAGTGCACACCAGTGCCTTTCAAACCCCGCTCAACGGCGAGATTCGCTGGGCTCCGGCAGAAGGGAAGAGAGCCTCAGGTCCCTTTTCCAGGGCGGCTGCCGTTGGGTCGCAAACATGCTTATTTCAGGGGCGAAGAAGAATCAAGGAGCTTACAGGTTGTAAGCAGTACTCGGTTAAGTAAGTTCTTGAACTCAGCCCTGTGCTGGCGGTACAAGAAATCAACGGGACCACTTCGCTTCCAGCGTGGGGAGGCCGCCCTGGGCACTCACCAGCGCAGCGCGGCGCGGGGCTCCCAGCGCAGCACCTGTAACTCTGCCTGCGGGCTTCCAGGGGCTTGGCGGGGCGGGGCACAGGGCGGAGCTGACACACACCCCCCAAACAACCTCAGCTAGGGGATAATTACCCTCCAGGAGGGACCTGGGTGAACTGGGATCTGTCGCCCCCCAAAATATGGGCTGTGGGCCAGCAGCACCTGCGAGCCTGGACATTGGTTGGCAGTGCAGAATCTCGGGCGCCCAACGGGCTGACTCAAAATCTGCGTTTTCACAGAATCCCTAGGTACACCAGGACTTGGAAACGTTCGTGGGGAAATGGAAAGAAAAGCTTGTTCTGGTGCAAAACACTGAAATTCTTGCAGTTTTCATGATAGGCATTTTCCACAAAGTTTCAGAAGACCCTCCTCTTTTGCGTGCATTTCACAATGTTTTCCCACTGCGATAAACATTTTTCATTCCATCTTCCATGAACTTTAGAAGTCATTTAAAGTCCAACAGTGGTCTCCCCCCAATGCTCGCAACAGCTGGAGCTGAGCTGGGCCAAAGTTAGAGCTGGGGGCTCAGTCCAGGTCTCCCACGTGGGTGGCAGGAGCTCAGTGTCTTGAGCCATCACCTGGTTCCAGGGTGCACGTGAGCAGGAACTGATTCGGGATGCAAGCATCATCCCAGTGTCTTAACTGCTGAGCCCCTGGACTTGCTGAAGCGCTCTCCTACCTTCTGTGTGCCATCAAGTTTGAGCAGTGGTCAAAGCCAGGAGTTCTCTAAGTGTGGCTGAAGACCAGCTGCTGTTGCATCAACTGGGAACGCTGAGCGTCACCAAGCCCTGCAGGTGACTGATACACACCCAGATCTGAGGACCATCAACTTGGTGATGTAAAAGTTGCTTCGCTGTTACCTGTGTCTCCTTGAATTGCTATCCTACAGGATCCACTGTGTCATATGACTTTCAGGAAAATTGTATGACGGTCTCATTGCTTCTTTCTCCTTTTGAAAGCTGATGATCCGACACCTTTCGATATCCAAGCGGAGCTGACAGTGAAGACAAACTTCTTTGCCACGAGAAACGTCTGCACCGAGTTGCTGCCGATCATGAAACCTCATGGTAAGCCCCGTGAGCGGGGAGTCAGGAAGGAGTCAGCCTCAGACTCCCTGGACAGGGCTGCCTGCAGGAGTCACCCGGGGTGCCCGTTCTCTGTAGCGGGGGAGTAGACAGCGTCCTTCTTCTCTTACAGTGTCTGACTCTTCACTTGAGCATCTTAGCTTCAGGTTGCAAAGGCATGTGGGTGGTATCTCAAAGCTCTTAGAATCTACCATGAACTCCGCCCTAGAATGACAAGATGTTTCAAGTTCACAAAGACCCTTGCCTCTGATCACACCTGATCCACCTGGGGGCCTGGGGGATAGTATCTCTTCTTTAAAAAAAAATAATAATAATTGTTTATGTGAAAGGCAGAGTGACAGAAAGAGAGAGAGAAATCAATCTTCTCTCTGCAGGTTCACCTCTCAAATGGCCAACATAGCCCGGGTGAGCAAGACCAAAACCAGGAGCCTGGAACTTCATCCAGGTCTCCCACATGGGTGGCAGGAACCCAAGCACTTGCGTCATCTTCCACTGCTTCCCAGGTGCATTAGCGGGAAGCTGGATCAAAAGCAGAGCAGCACAGCTCAAACCCATGCTCCAATATGGGATGCTGGCATTGCAAACAGCGGCTTAACTCACCGCACCACAATGCCAGTCCCAGGATCGTATCTCTCCGAGCATTAAGATACTCCCTGGGGTTGGCATTGTCTCATGATGGTTAAAGCCACCAACTACAATGCCAGCATCCCATGCAGGTGACAGTTCATGTCTCGGCTGCTCTGTTTCCAATCCAGCTCCCTGCTGGTAGCCTGGGAAAAGCAGTAGAAGATGGCCCAAGTGTTTGGGTCCCTGACACCCACATGGGAGACCTGGAGTAAGCTCCTGGCTCCTGGCTCCTGGCTTCAACCTGGCGCCCAGCCATCTGGGGAGTGTACAAGCAGATGGAAGATCTCTCTCTCTCTCTCTCTCTCTCTCTCTCTCTCTCTCTGTAAACTCTGGCTTTAAATAAATAAATAATCTTAAAAAAAAAAAAAAGACATTCCCTGTCTTCCTTCTTGGGCTAAACTTCATTAAACTGATTCAGAAAATGCAAAAGAAGTTGTCTTCATTAGGAAATATCTTGTCCATACTGATAATTTTCTTTTTTTTTTAATACTAGACATGCTATTGTATTTAGGTATAAGGGATTTCATTTTTTAAAAAAATTTAGCTCCCACATATAAAGGAGAACTTGCAATATTTGTCTTTCTGTGTCTAGCATACTTCACTCAACATGGGGTCCTCCACTTGCAGGCACTTTGTTAGAAATGGTAGAATTTCATTCTTTTCCAAAGCTGAATAATATTCCACATCTTCTTTAGCCACTCATCTGATGATGGACACGTTGGTTCCAAAATTTGACTATTGTGAACAGTGCTGCTATAAAGGTGGTGGTGCAGGTATCTCTTTGATACCTGTTCATGTCTTTTGGTTATATGGTAGTGTGATTGCTGCATCATATGGCAAGTTTATTTCTAGTTTTGAAATAAATCTCCATACTGTTTTCCACAGTGGCTGTACTAATTTACATACCCACTAACAGTATATAAAGTTCCCTTTTCTTTTTTTAAAAAAAGAATTAATTTATTTATTTGAAAGCCAGTTACACAGAGAGAGGAGAGGCAGAGAGAGAGATAGAGAGAGAGGTCTTCCATTCAATGGTTCACTCCCCAAATGGCCACAACGACCAGAGCTGATCTGATCCAAAGCCAGGAGCCAAGAGCTTCTTCCAGGTCTCCCACGTGGGTGCAGGGGCCCAAGCACTCAGGCCATCTTCCACTGCTTTCCCAGGCCATAGCAGAGAGCAGGCTCAGAAGAGGAGCAGGCGGGACTCAAACCAGCACCTATATGGGATACCGGCGCTGCAGGCTGGGGCTTTAACCCACCATGCCACAGTGCCAGCCCCTAAAGATTCCCTTTTCTCCACATCCTTGCCAGCATTTGTTCCTTTCTGTCTGTCCTATTTTAGCCATTCTGACAAGGGTGAGGTGATAAACACTTTATATTACTTTCCCCACAAAATATAGTGCCTTCTATCTCCCAAGAGTAATGCTGTGTGCTGGGTATGCAACGGGGAGCGTTAGACACGGGGGCATGCCATCCATGGAGCTCTGAGTACAGGGAGGGGGACAATGCCTAACAAAGGACTGGGAGTACAGGACGACCACTGTGCCACTGTGCAGTGGGGTGGCATGAAGGCCTGATTTTCTAGGCATTTTTCTTACCCAAGACATTAACTGTGTGTCTTGGGAAGAACTCTGTGGTTCTTAGGAGAATTGTGCTTTTCTTAATTTAACATTTTGAGTAAGGATTGACTCTTTATATGAAAAAAATTAAGATTTTATTTATTGTTTTATTTGAAAGGCACAGAGAGAGATCTTCCACCCACTGGTTCCCTCCCCAGATGGCCACAACAGCCTGGACAAGGCCAGCCTGAAATCAGGAGCCCAGAATCCCATCCTGGTCAATTGATGGAAGGGATCCAAGTGCCTGGGCCATCCTCTGCTGCCTTCCCAGGCACATTAGCAGAGATCTGGATTGGAAATGGAGCAGCCAGGACTCGAACTGGCACTTTAATATGGGATGCCAGAATTGCAAGCAGCAGCTTAACCACTGCACAACAATGCTGGCCCCTGGTTATAAAAAGATATTGAAACCTAAGTAGGCATATGGTGAAGGTTGCACCTGAACCCCTGCTTCCTCTCCCTCTCACTCCCTCCCAACCCCCACAGGTCATTCTCTGTGCTCGTCTCTAGTGGGGATAGGATTGTAGAGCGCCTGCAGGTAGAGTTGCAGGTGCTGGCCAAGGAAGCTTCAGTCCAGCTGCCTGGAGTTGGTGAGTGCCCAGGATCAGAGGATAGAGTTTGTTTTTTAGGATTTTATTTATTTATTTGAGAGGTAGAGTTATAGACAGTGAGAAGGAGAGACAGAGAAAAAGGTCTTCCATCCGCTGGTTCACTCCCAAAATGGCCCCAACAGCTGGAGCTGAGCCAATCCAAAGCCAGGAGCCAGGATCTTCTTCCAGGTCTCCCACATGGGTACAGGGGCCCAAGCACTCAGGCCAACTTCCACTGCCTTCCCAGGCCATAGCAGAGAGCTGGAAAGGAAGTGGAGCAGCCGGGACTAGAATCTGTGCCCATATGGGATGTGGCCCAGCAGGCAGATGATTAACCTACTGCACCATGGCCCCAGGATAGAGTTTTTAAGTACAAGTCTAACCAAATGTAAGTGCACCTTGTAAAGACTTGTTTACACAGAAGGTAACACTCCCTACAGTGGTTGACACCTGACTTTTTTCCCTGCCTGTATCTGGAGCTCATTCCAGACTACAACAGAAAACTTTCATACTCTTTTTCATGGCTGCCTGGTATTCAATTGTATGCCATTCAATTGTATGTCTTTTACCAAGTATCAGGGGGTCCTCTCCCTGCTAAACTTTAGAATCATGGAATTTGAGAGCTGCAAGGTATGGAAGAAACCTTGTGTCCCTGCCCCTTACAGAGAGGGAAGCTGAAGCCCAAGGAAGTGAACAGAGATGGATAGTAATAGATCTGGGAACAGTAGCCGGGTTTCTGACTTCCAACTAGGAAGATTTGTTCTAGTGAGGTAAGAATGAGAGCACCGCAGGATGGACACCAAGCCATTCTGAAAGATACTGGAAGACTCTGGAGGGTGAAGCCCAGAGACTAACCGAGAACAGGCGACTGACTCTCTTTAATCAGTTCCCTGTAGCATCCTTTCTCACTGCAGGAGTCTCTTTTACAACCTTGGAAAAACATATGACCAGAGGGTCGAAATGCTAACCACCATCGCCTTTTGATTTGTGGGAAATCATTTTTGTCCACACGCAAAACTGGTTTAAGAGCCATTCTTCATCTACCCTTAAAACAGTACAGAGGGGCCGGCATCCTGGCATAGCGGTAAAGCCGCTGCCTGCAATGCCAACATCCCATTTGAGCGTGGGTTTGAGTGCCGGCTGCTCCAGTTCTAATTCAGCTCCTTGCTAATGGCCTGAGAAAAGCATGAAAAATGGTCAAAGTCCTTGGGCCCCTGCACCCACATGGGAGAACTGAAAGAAGCTCCTGGCTCCTGGCTTCAGCCTGGCCCAGCCCCGGCCATTGTGGCCATCTGGGGAGTAAACAGGCGGATGGCAGCTCTCCTCTCTCTCTTTCTCTCTCTCTCTCTCTCTCTGTGAGTGTGTGTGTGTGTGTGTGTCTGTAACTCTTTCAAATAAATAAATCTTAAAATCAACTGAATAAATTATAAAACAAAATTATAAAACTAAACATTACAGAAAGCTCTTTGGCTTACTTAATTGTTCAAGAGTCAGAGTAAATACTCCTAGGTTAAGCAACTGTGAAGCCACTAGGGGGCGCTACCTGCCCACTTTTTCCAGGATGAGCCTGCAGGTGTTTCGGGCATGGTGGAGTCACCCGGACCTCCGCGCGGGCTGCTGGTGCTGGTGGGGTGAGTGCAGCCCTTCCCAAGGCTCAGTGAACCCCTCCCCGGAGACGTGCCTCAGATCGCAGAGCACGCCTCCCTCCCTTAGCAGCATTTCCTTGGAAGCATAGAGTAGCTCCTGGAACGTGTGTCTCTTCGTTTTTCCTCTCCCTTTGATGTTTCATTCCTGAGTGCAGCCAAGGGGTTGAGAATCAAGGTGTTTGGAAGGTAATGAAAGCTGATGTGGTGTTCCTGGCCAAAATATCAAAGTGAATCTAATCATGAGAAAACCAGGCCAATCCAAACTGGGGAAAGTACTACCAAATAATTCTCTAGCCTATTTAAAAAAAAAAAAAAAAAGTCATTGTCAACTCCTCTAGATTAAAATAAACTGAAATGCAATCCATTCTCACACACTGTCCCTGGATTAAGACAAAAACGGTGGGGCCGGTACTGTGGCATAGCGGGTGGAGCTGCCGCCTGCAGTGCCAGCATCCCATATGGGCGCCAGTTCGAGTCCCGGCTGCTCCACTTCCAATCCAGCTCTCTGCTATAGCCTGGGAAAGCAGTTGAAGATGATTCAAGTGCTTGGGCCCCTGCACCCCTGTGGGAGACCCGGAAGAAAGTGCTGACTCCTGGCTTCAGATTGGCCTAGCTCCAGCCATTGTGGCCATTTGGGGAGTGAACCAGCAGATGGAGGACCTCTCTTTCTCTGCCTCTGCCTCTCTGTAACTCCACCTTTCAAATAAATAAGTAAATCCTTAAAAAAAAAAGACAAAAACGGTAAAGGAACATTATTGGGACAACTAGAGACAGCTGAATGGGGACTCTATTTTTAGATCATAGTGTTGGACCGTTGTCACCGTCCTGAGTGTGGCCATGACTGATTATGCAGGGGAATGCCCTGGTTGGCATGTATATACTAAAGTACTGAAGGTAGAAGCTGTATAAGTATCTACAACTGAGACACAGGGAAAGAGGGGGCAGCGGGTCAAAATGTTCACCCTGAGGGTAAACTTAGGTAAGTGGTATGGGCATTTATTGAGCTATTCTTGCAACTTCTTTGGATTTTTCTAATTTTTCAAAATTAAAAGTTAAGAAGGAAATACATGTGAGGGATCTACACAGAAAGATCTTGCACATTCCAAGAAAGTGATGCTGCACGGATTTAAAAATTTTTTGTACCAAAACAAATTTATCTTTTCTAAGTCCATTTTCCATGTACTTTTGGAAGAACCCTCATATTAGCATCAAAAGTAAGAGAGAGAAAAGCAAAGAAAAAAATACGGAATGGTCTCAGCACCTGGGTAAGCGAGGGTGTCTCCACAGGGGACTGGGGCCCACGAGGTGTCCCATAGAATGTTGGCCTCCACCTAAATGGGTTGCAGGGATAAGGGCTGTTCAGAAAATGTAACGAAACCCGGTGATCCCAGGCCAGCATTTGGCCTGGCGGCTGAGACACCAGTATCTCACATTGGAGCGTCTGGGTTTAATTCCCTCCTCCGCCCAACTCCAGCTTCCTGCTAATGCAGGTTCTGGAGGCCGTGGTGATCGCTCATGTCCTTGGGTTCCTGCCACCCGTAATGAAAATCTAGATTGAGCTCCTGGCTCCCACTGCAGGTATCTGGGGAATGAAACAGCAGATGGGAGCTTGCGCTCTCTCTCTCTCTCATAAATAATATTTTTTAAAAATTCAGTGATTCTATTGGGTTCAGGATACTATGCAAGAAAAGAACCTACTGAGGCCAGCGTTTTGGTGTAGTGGGTTAAATCACCACCTACAATGCCGGCATCCCATATGGGTGCTAGTTTTATTCTGATCCAGCACCCTGCTAATGGCCTAGGAAAACAGCAAAAGAGGGTGCAAGTACTTGGGTTTCTGCACCCATGTGGGAGACTTGGATGAAGCTCCTGACTCCTGGCTTTGGCCTGGCCCAGCCCTGGCCTTTGTGGCCATTCAGGGAGTAATCTAGCAGACGGAAAATTGATCTTGGCCGGCGCCATGGCTCACTTGGCTAATCCTCCACCTGTGGCACCGGCACCTCGGGTTCCAGTCTCGGTTGGGGCGCCAGATTCTGTCCCGGTTGCTCCTCTTCCAGTCCAGCTCTCTGCTATGGCCAGGGAGGGCAGTGGAGGATTGCCCAAGTGCTTGGGCCCTGCACCCGCATGGGAGACCAGGAGGAAGCACCTGGCTCCTGGCTTCGGATCAGCACAGCGCCGGCCGTGGCAGCCATTAGGGGAGTGAACCAACAGAAGGAAGACCTTTCTCTATGTCTCTCTCTCTCACTGTCTATAACTCTACCTGTCAAAAAAAAAAAAAAAAAAGCAAATAGATCTCTCTCTCTCTCCCCCTTTCTCTCTGTAACTCTTTCAAATAAATAAATCTTTTAAAAAAAGAAAAAAAAGGACCCTACCAAAATAGGTATTTTGGTGTTTTTTTGATGCTGGGAAAAAATTTGTCAATCACATATTTAATGGTTTGGGGAAATTATTGTATAGTTTTTGGCCTGTGTATATTTTTATGGCCCCGATTGTGTTTTTAATAGCTATAAATTATTAGCAAAGTGAATATTAATTCATAAATTAATAAATACTAAAACATTAACTTTGAACTAAAAAACAATGAAATAAACCCAGGGTGGAGAATTGACCCACTCCATGTGCCCATCACTAAGGACAGGCAGGGGTCAGTCCCAGGGACTGCTTGACCTTGGAACTGACAGGCAGGGAGAGGACTGGCTGCTCACAGCCATAGGGTGTTCTGCACACCCGGAAATGGAGAGCTTCAATCTTCAGTGGGAGGCACTGTTCCTCAGGCAGTAGGTTCATCAGTGTATATGTTTGGAGGGGGATCTGCTGCCTGGTGGATCCACTCACTATAGACCTGCAGCCCACTCACCCCATGGGAAGTCACAGCAGAAGGGAGCCCCCTCACAGAGGTGCATTCTTCTTCCCCTTGGGAGAACAGGGGCCAAATAAATGTTAAAAACCCAGGGTGCCTAGATTTTATTCCTCCTAGAGTCATTTTCTCCAGCAATTAACCCTACACCACGACTTCATGTGTACGTTTGGTGCTTCTCTGTGACATGCTTCCTCTTTTGCTATTTTCCAGGGCGAGTGGTGAATATCAGTAGTTTGCAGGGTTTACAGGCTCTTGAAAACTGCAGCGAAGACCTGCAGGAGAAGTTCCGATGCGAGACGCTCACGGAGGGGGACCTGGTGGACCTCATGAACAAGTTCGTGGAAGACACAAAAAACGAGGTGCATGAGAAGGAAGGCTGGCCCCACTCAGCTTATGGGGTGTCCAAGCTGGGGGTCACGGTCTTGTCGAGAATCCTGGCCCGGCGCCTGGAGGAGAAGAGAAAAGCCGACAGGATTCTGCTGAACGCGTGCTGCCTTGGGTGGGTGGAGGCAGACATGGCTGGGGACCACAGCTCCAGGACTGTGGAGGAAGGGGCTGAGACCCCCGTCTACCTGGCCCTCCTGCCTCCAGATGCCACTGAGCCTCAAGGCCAGCTAGTCTGTGACAAAATTGTGCAGAGCTGGTGAGTGTCCGCTTTGCAGCTTGATGCTAAATAAATGTTGGTGGGATGACCTAGTGAACTCTGGCGTTGTCATTGGATCCTGTTTCTCTTCTTGAGCAGGAGTGTCCACTGGAATCCCTGGAGGTATCTGGAACTGAATGACTCTGCTAGGCCCTAACTCTTCTGCCCAAGAGAAAGAGCATACTCTCGTGTGTTAGCGGGCATCGGGAGCACCCAAAATTTAGGATTCTGCTAAAACTGGGAATGGGCCTAGGAACCTGCATTTCAGAGAAGCTCCCAGATGCTGCTGGCCCAGGGCAAGGGGCACTCAGAGGCCCAGTGGTTCAGTGAGTGGTGTTGACAATGGAGTGAGGTCTCGGGCGTTTTCCTGCCACGTCCTGTGGTTTCTACTTTGTTGATTCTGTAAGGATGATGATTTATCTGCTGTCTCCTAAACTCTGAGGCCCTCCTTTCTATCTCATTCCACTTGGTGCTATTTGAGAATATTTTTATGGGTTCGGTCAAAGGATAAACTTGCAACAAATTCAAAGATGTTAATGGACTTATTTTCAATTCTAGGATTGGGCAACGCCTCCTATAAAACAGGGTGAGTGTTCCAGCGAGCGGAGCAGAGGAGGCTGGTGGTGCAGACGGAAAAAGGCGAGAAAGCAGAATCAGTACAAAAAGTAGATTGAGCACTCAAAGTTTCTTTCCTTGCAAAGGTGAAAGCCTAGGCCACATCCTTATCATACCAGCTGACACTGGGTTATCTGGGGATTGAACTATTATCTCTGTCTCCTTATTTCTCAAAAGCTCAGACAAACAACTTAGCGTTAGCTTGGAGACAGGGGACTTGAGCACATGTGGCTGTGTTTGGGTTGGGTCTTGGGCTGAGGGCAAGACCTCAGTCCACACCAGTGGCCTGCTACGTGCTAAGCTCTCAGTTCTTGTTCTTATGAGGCAGTGTAGCCTGACAGACTCAGGAGAGGCATCTTCTTCACCAGGCCGCGGTTTTGTCCACCCTGGGTCTCCGGCTGCATTCTGCATCCTGCGATCCTTCCCGGGCTGTTTGTGCCATTGCCCTGTCACCCTTTCATCTTGTTCACACTTCGGCATCTGTGTGCAGAGCATCTCTTGGCTCGGATACATGCAAACGTCTTCTCCTCCAGCTGGTCAGCCCCTTCCGAGCTGCAGCCCAAGGCAGTTCTTCCGTTGACAGTCTCCATGACAACAGGGGACTTCAAGTTGATTGCTTCTGAATGGGATGCGTTTTGCAACCAGGCTTTCTGGGTTCCAGTTATACCCCATAGGAAAAAGATGGAGATAAAAGATCTCGTGAAAGAGAAGAAATTGATTTGCAAGGGAGTCAAGACTTCAGAAGGAATGGCTCACCAAGTAACAATAAAAATTCAACAAGAGCACAGTGGAAAAAAATACAAAAGAAGGAAAAAAAAAAACAAGTTTTCCACAGTTACCAAGTTCATGATAGGTTGTTCACCATGGGCTACAGCAATGTTGTCATTTGGCTTATCTTTTGTCTTTTTTTTTTCCCAAGATTTATTTATTTGTGTGAAAAGCAGAGCAACACAGAGAAAGAGAGAGGGCTCTTCCATCCACTGATTCACTCCCCACATTCCCATAACACCTGGAGCTGGGCCAGACCAAAGCCAGGAACCAGGAACTCCATCTGAGTCTCCCACACGGGTGGCAGGGGACCAAGTACTTGGGTCTTCCTCCACTGCTTTTCCAGGCTCGTCAGCAGAAGCTGGACTGGAAGCAGAGTCAAGTGTACTCAGACCTAGGCTTCCAGGTGGGATGCCAGCATGGCAGGTGAAGCTTAACCCACAGCACCACTGCTCTCGCCCCTTTTGGTTATCCATGAGCGTCACATCCTATCAGACATCAGCACAGTGGCCATAAGGAATACTGCTGATTTCCCTTAGGGAGTCAGACAGGTACAGAACGCTCAAGGTCCCATTTATTGGAGGGGTCCTCCATTATGTCTGGCTTAACACAAGGCACAGCAGTTTATTGTTCCCAGCTCTGAGTTCTCATAACACCTCGAGTGTCAGTTTAACTATCACAACCCTCACTCCCTCTCTCACCACTTGGGACAGTGTCTGAATTCCATCTGACTGCCTTTCCCCTCCTTTAGGACATCTGCATCACTGACGAAATCAAACCTGCGCCAACACTTATCTGGGGACACGGCTCCTGAGACAGCCTAATGGTTTTTCTGGCTCTGAAAATATCTTGATGGCTTCAGTGTATTTCCTGCACCTCACACATACTTGGTCCTCCCTCTGCACCCAACCCCCAGAGTCCTGCTGATGACAGGCACAGGAACCACACAGCTCTTCCAAGCTGTGCCTGCCAAAGACACAGACAGGAAAATGCAGAAGGAAGCCAGCCAGCCCCTTGTATGTATTTTGTGTTCCTTCCCTCTCATTTATCTCTAACCAATCACCTTGATGTTTTTGGAGGCGTGGAGCCCACTTGGACAACCCTTGGCAACCAGTGGTCAATGTTTCTCAAGAGAAGTGCTGTGGCAGCCCCTGGACCAGCACCCACTCCCCGGGTGGTATCTCCTGCACGCCCTCCTGCTCTGTCCTGTTTGAACTGCAGCACCACAGGTGACTGCCCTGCTGGCTTCTGTTGACTGTTGCAACCTTCCTCTAAAAGCAGGGCTAGCTGGACCCGATCCGAGCTGTTACTGTGAGTGCCTAGGTGTCACCTTGGGTCTAATGAGCAGAGGGAGCTGGGCCTCAGCCAGAGGAGCATTTACACAGTGGCCCAAACAGAAGCCCCCTCTCTACAGCGGCCTTGGGTCACTCCTGAAACCCTTGGTTCTATGAGATGCTCTGATACCTTAAAATAAATTTCCCTTCCTCTTGAGCTAGGTTGAATTGAGTGATTATTTGCAATCAAAAGGAGCCTAACTAATAAAAGTGCATGAAAATGTTTCGTGGTATGCTATGAAGGAAATAAAAAAACAATGATTGAGCTTGGACTCGAAAGGAACACAACGTCATGAATTATGAACCCATGACTGGCCGGCACCATGGCACAATAGGCTAATCCTCCAGCTGCAGCGCCGGAATCCCATATGGGCGCCAGTTCTAGTCCCAGCTGCTCCTCTTCCATTCCAGCCTTCTGCTGTGGCCTGGGAAAGCAGTGGAAGATGACCCAAGTGCTTGGGCCCCTGCACCCATGTGGGAGACCTGGAAGAAGCACCTGGCTCCTGGCTTCGGATCGGCGCAGCTCCAGCCATTGCGGCCATTTGGAGGTGAACCAATGGAAGGAAGACCTCTCTCTGTCTCTACCTCTTACTGTCTGTAACTCTTCCTCTCAAATAAATAAATAAAATCTTAAAAAAAAAAAATGAACCCATGGCATACAAGGCCATAGAGGGGTCATGTTCTAATACAGCCCAGGCGTGGTTTTATGTGATTCTTCAAATAGGCCTTTAAGGTAAGGATCTGTGTCGTTTTTCAGATGAATGAAGGCTTGCAAAGGTTAATTAAGTCACCCAAGATCACCCAGTTAAGAGTCAAGAGCCAGGGTCAGAGCAAGGACTGCCTGACTGCTGAGCTCCTTGGGACCTAGTACCAGGCACAGCCAGCTTCACTTTCACGCCTCTACAAACCACGGGCACCTCTTTCGGTGTAGAAGTCAGGGAGGTGACACATTTGACCTAAATGATTTGTAAGCTATACAGCTATCACACCCCCAAATCATCCTGTATACATTTTCCCGTAGAGAAAAAAGAAAGTTGAGAAGAGGCGTATCTCAATGGATTCTCTCGTGCAACACGCTCTTTCAGGTGCCAGACGGAGCCAGCGGGCCCACCCGCGCGGCTTTTCTGTGATCCACGTCTCTAGGCTGAGGCCAGGGTGTTCAACCCACACCCAGCATCAGCTTTGGACCAGCCCTGGATTTTTCCTTTACCCACTGAACTGCAGCAAGCTGTGTGACAGACTAGGGATCTGAAGAGTGGTGTCACGTGGAGATGTAACAGGAGACAGTGACAGGTGCGACAAAGGTTCCCTTGTTACCGCAACTCAGCCACAAAGCAGGCATGGCGTCAAATGTGGAAGGGCAAAGACTTCCTCGGCACCAAGAGAGACACAGGGAGAGCAGAGGGCAGAGCCGATGGGGAAGCCATCGTTACTACCCAGGCGCAGGGCGTGTGAGCTAGTTCACAGAAGAAACAGGCTTTGAGGATCACCAGGATCTGTATAGCAACGACTCAGGATGTGTCTACCTGGGTCGGGCAGTCTGAGCCAGCGCTCTGATAATAATCCTTTCTTTCCTGTCCAAAAGGGAGAGGATTAAAGTTCTGATTTAAATTTAATTGGAAATGACCTAATTCATCTGGATATTATTATTATTTATTTATTTTTTGACAGGCAGAGTTAGACAGTGAGAGAGAGAGAGAGACAGAGAGAAAGGTCTTCCATTTCCATTGGTTCACTCAACAAGTGGCCACTACGCTGGCACACTGCGCCAATCCAAAGCCAGGAGCCAGGTGCTTCCTCCCAGTTTCCCATGCGGGTGCAGGGCCCAAGGACTTGGGCCATCCTCCACTGCCTTCCCGGGCTACAGCAGAGAGCTGGACTGGAAGAGGAGCAACCGGGACAGAATCCGGTGCCCCAACCGGGACTAGAACCCGGGGTGCCAGCGCCACAGGCGGAGGACTAGCCTAGTGAGCTGCGGCGCCGGCCTGGATATTAATATACAAGGAATCCATTCCCTTTACATGTCTTACACAGAGGACCACGGACAGCTAAGCAGACTTCTAAGTGCGAAAAGACAACTCGACCTAAGAAAACATTCCTTGTAAGAATATTCAAATGTTAACGTTGCACATTTACTGTCAACCTTGATTATAAATTGAGTCATTCTTCTAACAACTTCCAATAGGTAACCCTATCAACTTCAAGTTTACCCCTCCGCCATACAGCTGGAGTTCTTTCCAGGCACAGTTTAAAAATATAAATGTGTTGGCACAAACTTACACATGGTGGCTTTGAGGCAGGCTGTTCTCGCTCTCTTCAATGGTGAGTATAAAGCAGTTCT